CAAAATATTTAGTTGATATTCCAAAAAATTTCAAGTTCCAATATCACTTTATGCTTGATCCACTCGATAATTAAAAGAAATCCAACCATGTTAAGTTAGTACTTTTCTCTATATTGAGTACCTAACGTTCTACTTCAAGAGTGAAATATATCTTTTACATTTTTTAAGATTGTTTACTATTAACGAGTATAGCTTACCGTTGACTTAACTGAACTATCTCAAGATAATTGTTTTCGTTAACCATCTCACCTTTGACAGTATTATATAGGTATGTGGTATGCGTGTATACATTAGTTAATAGTTTTTACAATAATAAAACACTTTTTAACGGAATGTCACTTTTTCTGAGTCAATAAAACCAACGCTAGCCTCTCGGGATTTGGGTTGCACTGTTGCAGACAAATCCCTCAACGCTCGCTCGGAATTTTACAGTCAGATTTGTCAAATCGACCGATTTCGAAATCACAACGACGGTAATATAAAACAAAATTCATGTGACTGCGGCTCGTTGTTGAGGTTATTATAGTATACTGTGCAAGTATCACTAGAATCAGTGTATCACATATTAATTATAATTATAACACTGCAGTAATGTTTGTAATTATTATCATTATCGTTCGTTGTAATATTTGAAATTAAACCTGATGACAAACCAATGGTGAAAGTTAATGTATTACGATACAAATGGAATATATGGAATTTTCCAGGCTAAAAATGTGTTTGTGATATCACCCTTGGAAAACAAAAATTGAATTTTACATCATCGATAAAAAAATATGATCCATTATAATTATTATAATACTATACACATTCACTTCATTGGACAATTTATTAAGAATGATAATAATAATAACTTAATCATGTGAAACAAATGTTAACGAATTGTATGGGCAAAGTATACAATAATCAAAAAAAAAAATATATATATTAAATCTATAAGCACGTGGGAGTAGATTGAAAGAAAAAAAAGAAGAGAAGAGGTAAGAATAAAATTATTTAAATACACATTAAATTGATAAATCTAATACTCAGACGCTTTACATATTACAATATAAATTAACCCAAAACTTGAACTTGGAACTTATTAACTTTTTAATCAACAATTTTTTAACGAATCGCCTTTCAATTAATTTCTCTGTTGTTTCTTCTAATTTGTTGAAATAGTTATCCGTAGATCCATTACAAACTTTTATTTTATGTATCCATTTTGAGTTTAAATAAAATATAAAAGCGATGTACTTATTTAAATCCATTTACGGTGTAATTATTATTTATAAATTTGATTTCCAGATGATTAAATTAAATATTATAATATGCAAATGAATGCAGAGCTGGTTTTTAAATAAAAAATGCTTGTCAAACCTTAACGAAAGTTATAATAAGTGTATGTACCTACCTACGTATTCGCTGAATCTTTCAGTAAGCAATGGAAAATGTAATCGTGCAGCATTTATGCATAAGTAATTAAACAGAAATATCACGTGCAAATATACATACCGATCATTGTATGGTTTTAATATACAACCGTAATTGAATGACAGGTGCATAAATGTAATTATAATAATGTATTATCATTCGCACACAAATATTGATCATACATTGATTTATATCAATGACCCAATCTAAACCAACCTACAACGATTAATGACCACTTCGGATGAACTTGGAAACCTATAAATTATTGCCAGCTAGAATGAAAATAGAGAAAAATCAACCAGTACCTAAGCAAATAAAAATAAAACTGTTAAAAGAGATTATAGGAAGCACTTGCAGGCCATACTGTACGCGCTGTGACTCTCCTCTACAGTAAAATTATTGTTTTAGAACATGACTAAAGATTTATAAAGTTGTCAATATTAAATAAAAACTAAATTGGTTCCTACCTTATTTTCACATCTTCAATATATATATATTATATTCATAAAACATCAAAATCGTTTGCGTATAGTTTTTTTTTATTATTATTAAACGAGTGTCCTACACAAAATATACCTAATAATTGTTTGTAGTATAGAATATTCAATGAAATGAAAATTAAAGTAAATATGGATAAAATAAAATATTGTATCATACATTTTAATAAACTGACGACATGTACTTTCATGCAATTAAATTTAAATGTGCATTAAATCGTCTGGTATTATGCTTTTATAAACCACATATGAGTTATCATGTTTATACTGTTTAATAATAATTACAGCTGATTTAAATTTTTGAAGACTGGTTTGAATTTAACAAGAAAGTTTTTACAAATGTTTCATTTACTCGCATACTAATTGTACACAATAATATAAGATTTATATGTGTGTGTGTGTGTGTGTGTGTGTATTTGTTTACTTTATACGCGCTTTATGTTAAAAATACATATTCTATTACAAGTATAATGTAACAATTTATTCTTCCGAACAAAATTAATTTTTACCACGATACTAATTAGGTGTAAGTACTTCATTTACGTGTTTATATTATTTTGTAAACTCCAAAACATAGTTTGTTCATTTTGCGAATTGCTTTGCTTCAACGTCCATTGTGGGTAATTGAGATGTTTCAATTTTTACTTTTATTCACAACTAACCGTAGACCGTAGTAATATTCAGCAGGTACGTAGGTATCGCATTATGATCATGATATTATGGATCCATTAAACGAGAGAGTGCTGTACATTTTAAACATGGCGATGTCCTTATTTCCTATTAATGCACTCTACATTATACAACTACATAACACTAAAAATTCATTTATTCATCAGACACTCTTCGCACAGTTACAGCTGTGTATAATAATAATAATAATAATAATAATAGTACCCAACACGCGTTATGTACCCATCTACCAGCTACCTACCTACTTTATTCAACACGTATGTTTGTTCACCACCGGGCGAATTAATTTCCGTGTCGGATTTTTCTACTCGGTGTGGCCTTTTTTTTATACTCGGCCTCGTAATACAGTTTTATTATACCGCAGCTTTACTCAATTGTGCTTTATGGATGCAATTTTTACTCGTAATATCATGCGGTGATAAAAAATAAATGTTAGATATGCGCCATTTTTCCTCATAATGTAAAAAAATATTATATTCGGTGGACCACTGCTGCAGTGATCTTCCCGTATTTTATATTATATGCTATATTATTATGTACCTGTTTAGTCAACCCCGAAATTTTTATTTTTTGGCCATTTGTACATTATTATGTTTTACTCATTTTATACCCAACCTTTTTAATCAGAAACTCACTTGCACGTGTAAATTTATAAAATAGATTCGTACAAAATAATATAATCAAATGCATTCATTCGACAAAAATGTAATGTGAATGGAATGAGTTCTCGAAGCAGCCGTACTTCAAACGAAAATGTTTAATTATTTTCGTGTCAAAAATAATTGTCATAAACAAAAAAAAACAGAGAATTCGAAGTGGACATAGTTATACATCAACACATAAATAGGTACAATAACCGTTAAGTGAATGTGTATCGATTAACTCTCCAAAGATTTTTTTTGAAAATAATATAATAGTGATTAGTGCCTACACTGATTTACAATAATCGTATAGTGAACACAATTTAAAAGCGAATATTGTGCAGTAGAAGCGAGAGCTGTGTAGGTGCAGTTGGTTGGCTGTTACTAATTTTCGTGTGAATGTGTGATGAATGTTATGCAAACATTCATTTGTAACGTATTCAACGTATTTGATCAGAATAATAATAGTTAATAATCGGTTTTTCATCAAATTTACTGAAAACTTGACCAGTTCTGTTTTATTGTTTATAAACGTAATGCTGGAAAACATAACCCTGTAACCTATTTTTTGAATCGAAATATGTTTAAGATTAATCTAATAAAACATTAGAAGCTATATAACAGCTAAAATACAGCTGCAATTTCAATATACGTAGATTTTTTGACGATTGCGTGCTGTATAAACATATATTTTACGCCCACATAATTCTGGCCATCATCCATAAATATATTATGATATTGATATTCACTTGCAACTGTCCAATAATGCTTTAAATATGTATAGTAATAATATAATCTCGATCAATAATCGGTAGAAAATATCTATATAGTATTTATTGCATACACAAGTTTATTGTAACACCGTATAATGAATCTATTTATTCTTTTAGTTTACGTTCAGATTAAATACTACATAACATTATATTATATTTTACTTAGCAAAAGAAAAATAAGGAAATGTGATCCATGTGTCTTCATGGCATCGCCACTCGTCAGTCACAACACAATATTATAATATTTTAAGCGTATCACCTGTATCATAGTTTTTCAATCGATCACCGAGGTAACCCTCCGGCTATTGATGTGCGGTATACACCTGCATAATACCCGAGTTGATTTGACGTGTTGCCATTAAGCTATTTAAAAGGACGTTTGTCATTGATAAACGAATCTATTGAATCAATAATCGGTAAATTATTGATTGCATCCGTATTTTACTAACCTATATAAAGCTATTGCTGCCGATCGGCAAACACTGAAATCATAGCAATAATATACGCATAAAATGAATTACCTGTTAGATATAAACATGGTTTTTCAACTCGACATTAGTGTATATTATAACGGCGTAATGCGGAAGGGTATTATAATATAATGCGCGATTATTGGCGGATGAAACACAAATGTCAGTGTTGCCGTTGGTCCTCGCTGTTAAATCCTTCGGAACTGACAAGAATAATATAGGTAGGACGTCGGTACCCGCAATAAATTATCGAGTCTATTTAGACCTACTGCGAAACGGTATACCGTCCCCAGCGTATTCGTGTATATATTATATTGATAGGGACTATAAACTATACACCGTATTCTCAGACAGGATTAATCCACACACACACACACACACACACACACACACACACACACATCTAACATAGATATATGTGTCAAGCAGAACAGTGAGATTCGTGAAACTTTTTTCGCTTCTCGTAGTATTTTTATCGCGTGCTTTATATTTTATATTTTTTTTTCCCCACAGGTAATGGATACATCGAAGGCACCGAGCTGGACGGCTTTCTGAGAGAATTTGTCTCCAGTGCTAATACCGCGGACGTCAGCCCTGAGGTAAATTGTACACGTGCACATACATACGCACACATATATTTATACATATAGCTGCTAGATATAGATGGCATATATATATATTAGCTGCGTCGTATCGTTTAAGTTCTTTTTTCTTTTTAAATAATATATATGTAGGTATATACTATATATAAAAAAAAATAAAACGTTAATAAAAGTTGAGACAGGCCAGCACAGCCGGGGCAATCAAAATTACTTTAACGGTTTTTTCTATTATTGTTGGTCTACGACAAATAATAAGCCCGTTTCTCCGGCAAATGAAATACAAAAATGACACCGGAAAGTGTAAAAATAAATAAATAAATAAAAACAATAAAACGCACAGTTAACTTAATGTAATTCGCAACTGCAGTAACGAAAAAAATAATAATCTCTTTGTGTATGGTAATTGTTATTACTAAAACCATAAAAGTGACGTCAAATATTTTTAAGTACCACCATGATTTTTAGTGCCCAATAACATTATTATAAATTGTGGTCAGTGTTGGGTGAAAGAAACTCTACGGTTGATAGAGTAGGTACATTAAATATTTAAAGCTCCTACCTAAAATTTTATTAAATATACATCGCAATTGAATTTGTCACTACCTTTTGTATATAGATCAATAATCAATACAATATAATGACAATCCAAATATTTGTTGTAACTATTAAGTAATAAAAATAAAACTACACAAAATTTAAAAATAGTTTTTTTTTCATAGCACAATTTGATTTGTTTTAACATCAATATTTCAGCTTCTTATGCCTAATGTCTAATGAGTTATGAATATTTATCTATTCAAATGTATCAATTATAAATGTTAATTGTAATATTTTTAAACTTCAATCGTCTGTTAATCACATAAAGTTTTTTTTTTCATAACAGTAATTGTGGTGTCGGTTTGACTTTGACGTTATGAATGTGGACTTACGTTAGGAACAGATCTATCAATGTCTGTATAAAATAATTATGATATTAGAATAAAAAGTCCGAATAAATGAAAAAAAGTCTTAAGGTAAAAAAGAAAACTGCTGAATTATAAAAGTCAGGCATGTCCTAAAAAACTTTGAAGTTTATCTCAGCTAAGTTTTTTTTGTGACAGGGCTTTGTATAATAGTATATATATATCAATGCTTTGTATATGATGATAGTGGACCTGTTTCTGATGAACGGTTGCTTTAGACGATTGTTTGTGTTATATCTGTGTGTTTTTTTTTGTCCTAAATATATTTTACAGTTATATGCTGTAAATTATTAGAGTAAAAAAAAGACATAATTATTTGTGACCGCTGTTTATAATTGTTAATTAATAACAATATTGAGTGTTAATATACGGGTAATTTTATATGTAATTTATAATAATAAATTATCTGTATGATATACATACTTTTAAATAATTTTTATCAGACTTTTTTACATTCATGATAGAGAAAGAACAAAAATATGTCATCTTATACGTTCATGCCTATAACTCGTTCCATTTAAAATTATTTCAATTTGAAATATCTAAATAAATATAAACGTCATCCTTTCTTTTAGTTTTAATTGCAATTAATTTAAAATGATAGCTTTAAAGTTTTCTTTATGGGTACTTAAAAGCAAACCGAGTGAAAATTGTTTTTTTTTTTTTATGAATGCCATTCTTTATCATCAGTCTTCACTTTTTAATCCAAAATAACACAAAACGTCTTTTTGCATACTAATAAATTTAAATATTTCATTTTTGAAATGGTTCTAAATAATATAGGTACTGCAGGTATCCACGTAAAATATCAAAACTTTAAATGGTCAACAACAAAATTTTAGTCATTAATAATTGCCACCTAAAGTACATCGTGTAATCGCCATGTGTCCTAACCTAAAGTTCTTGAACAATTTAAAAATTCAACAATATATATGTTATATATATTACACCTCATGTTTAAAATTTAAAGGGTATAGAAAAATACCGTCGCAAGTATCGTTCTACGTGCACTATGTTCATATTGACCCATTGTTCGCCTCTCAACCGGAACATCCATCCGCCGTTCAAAAGGTCATTTTCGTTTCCTTTTTCCGTTCATCCGTATTGTTCGTGTTTTGAACGCTCTCGAAATTGCCCATGTAAAGTGTTAAAAATTAATTTTGGCCCGTGACAGACCGTTTTACTATATCGTAAGACGGGTCGTGCAGGGTAGGACGCAAAACGATTTTATTTTTAAGCTTACCTGCCTTTTTTGTAGTAACACGCAACAATATTACGCTCCTTAATACCATTAAGGTATGTATGGGATGGCGGGAAATGACTTTAAGCCGGAAGATAAAATTAAAAATAAAAATACTGTGGTGAAAAAGATCGATGGCCTCTATGACCGCTTGTCGACAATGATTCATCATCAAGTTTCTTTAACGCAAGTCAGTGATTTTCGGACAGTCAATTTTATCTAAACTCGGCTTTCTTAAAAGGATAATTATTTATTTATAAAAATTGTTTATTTATATATCTGTTTCAAGTACTTTTTTAAGTTCTCGACACTAATAATATTTTACTATTCATTTTTGCACTCAATTTGTACAATGTACATATTTTTAAGGATAACTTTTTTTATAAAAATGAATTTACCGTCTTTTATGATTTCTCTTTCTCTGATAGAGTTGTAAGCTTAGTCATTAATAAATAAAGTAACTGATGGTGATTTAAAGACGTTTAGTCAAAGATTAACATTTGATCTATGGCGGGTTCCTAAATAAATATTACAAAGTCACTTACTACTATTACTACACAGCGTATAACATTATTTTTTTGTTGTTATAAAATATGTGCAGTAGGAACAGATATTTTATCTTTCCTAACTAAACTGTATCCTTGCGTATACATTATGGAATATGCTTTAACACGGATTTATCAAACAAAACCGACAGTTACCCGCGATCAGGCTCGATTAAATTCAAATGGTCTGAATATTTCATATGTATTTTGATGTACGGTTTCAGCTCACAAAACAATATTTTCAAGAGAAAGCTGAAAATACATTATCAAAAATATTATACAGTAATGTCTATATTATACTCTATAACCTCAATCTATAATACACAATCTTATCGCAGAACAATCAATAATAATGCCAAAAACGTTAAAACCGTAACACCAAATAATATGTATAGGTACCAATATGTAGGTATGCATATAAATACAGCGAACGTAATGTATATGATAAGTTACAATTGAAAATAACTCAATAACAACTATCTTACAATTTATTTTCTATCAAAGACTTAAAAATAAACCAACAAAAATATTATAAAAAATAAAATCATACCTACTATAGGAACTCATAAATGCATAAACAAATATTATACCTACTTGTATTTCCTCCAAATTGTATTATTATTATTATAAAATTAAAGTTGAAATGCAAATTACGACCGTTATCTTTTAATTGAGTTATTATATTAAGCAGAATAGGTACCTATATTACACATATAATTAATTTTCATTTTGTATAAGCATATAACTACTAACAAGCAAAAAATATACCTAGTCATTTACTTTAGTAATATTAGAGTAATATAATATACGTGGTGTACTTAATATTATGTATTTAACATTTAATGATAATACAGTTTGATTTAAACTGAATTACAAAACATTTTTAATGATAACGTTTTCAAAATATAAAAAAATAATAATTGACGTGTATTTATTTTTGCGTGCCTACCTCTGTATGTCTTATAAAATATTTAAAATTAATCTTGATGAAAAAATAAAATGTCTTACTAAAAGTTTCAATGCTTAGAATATACATTTTTATTTGATGTATGTTTAAATAAAAAACAAATACAATGTAAATAACAATTACCAGTACTTAACTTAAAATAATTTTCTTGTAGCTACCTATTATTTATAATATAATAAATTAAACGTATTCTTAGTATTTTCAATCACACGGAAAAATATTTATTCATTATAAATTATATTATAATTGTTTGAACTTTGGAATTGTTCTTTTTAGAGATCCAATATATTATGAAACAAAATGTGTTCGTTATGAAGAATATATTTTTTTTTACTTTATATTATTTATTATAATTAATATGTAAATATGAAAAAATAAGAATTCATTTTGAATATAACATAAAGCTAAGGGAATAAATTTAAATTAAAAAAAAAATACCAATGACATATTACCACAAATGTGTCGTTTAAAATTTGAATATAACTCTTATAGGCAGTTTCGGATGCCATGTTGGTGGAGCTCAAGCAGTGTTTCATGGAGGCCTATGACGATAATCAAGACGGGAAAATTGACATCCGTGAAGTAATGAATTATTGTTGATAGGTGAAATCGCTATTTTGGCGAACACCATTCTCTTACGCCTTCCTAGTCCGGGTGATTAATCGTTATTATATTTTACAGCTTGCTCAACTTTTGCCCATGGAAGAAAACTTTCTACTTCTATTCAGATTCGATAATCCATTAGACTCCAGTGTCGAGTTCATGAAGGTATAAGTTATACATTTCTATATGCTTAAATAATTAACATATAAGTTCTCAAGTCCAACGTTCATATTACATGTTAATAAAATATTTATCATCAATTCATACTTGTTCTAGATATGGAGGGAATACGACACTGATGGTAGTGGATATATCGAAGCCGACGAGCTAAAGGTAAATAACGATAAATAATATTACCTATATAAACTACACTATTTACAAATACTACAGATCAAACAGTTATTATGAAAAAAATAAATATATTTAGCTTGGTTTATTTTAATGGTACCTATGTGTTTGAAAATTTAATTACGTATATTACAATAAGGAATTCATTTGTGCTCTAACAATGCTAATTGTTTTGTTCGAAATAATATCATGAACTATGAACCTATATAATCATTGTTTAAAATGTATTACCTTCTACATTTATTTCATAATGTGTAATATTAGATACCTAATCTATATTATATCCAATTATTGTAGTAGTATAGTTATCCAACTCCATCGTCATACCACAATTTTGTAATGTCACAACAACAAACATAGATAATATATTATATTATACAATATACAGAGTAGTTAAACAAGCATGCTCCTCCATTTTTTTTCTATAGTAATGAAAAATTGTGGTTTTTGAAATAGGTATACCTACTCGGCTACTCATCATAGGGATCATATTTTCAAATACTTAAGATTTGTGTAACATTTAATGAGCAGATATAGTGCCCTGTGGTGATACAAATTTTTTTTTATGAAAAACCTAACCAACCTTTTTACTGTAAACTGTAAAGTTAATGATTTTTTTAAAAATGTTGATGTACCTAATATCGAAATCAAAATTAAAATAAGTTCTTTCTGGGTTATCAAAATATATAGGTGTACTATAATAGTATAATTTTATGTTATCACTTATGTTATTACTTATTATACTCAAACAATTTTTGTACAAATAATGAAATGTTAATAGATTAATATGCATTACCTACTGAAATTTTAAAACAATCATAGCCTTGTACATTCTAAACCAGTGGTCTCAAACACGCGGCCCTTTGATGTGACCCGCAATAGTTCAACACATTTGTTATATTCTTTATTATTATTGAACGATAAAAATAATAATTTTTTTTAAACATTTATAGCTATCAATATAACATTATTTCATATTTGACATTCATAATGCTTTATTTTTATATCCCTCATTAGTAATCAAACCCTAATTACCGATAAGATAATTTTTATCATTCATAGTAACTAAAAAAATTGTATTATGTGATTTTTAAACATTGGTGTTAAGTGTACTTAGTCTGTGTGCCGTGTATGTAACTCTAAATCACAAATCGTTATATCTATATAAATTATAAATTTTATAGGAATAAGAAAAAAAAGGTCTACAGTTGTGCCAACGAACCTTTGATATATAAATATATGTCCCACTAGTAATTTGAGTTTGAGATGACTGATTTAAACCAAATCAAAAACTACCCTTTCAAATTTTGATTTAGATAGTTTATTAAAATTTCAAAAAATCATCTGCTAAACAGTTTTAAGAAAAAATGACAGATTCTTGTTAGAGAAAAAGAAGTTAATATCGCCAGAAGACACTCTTAATTTTATAATAAATCTAATTATTTTAAAATATGGTCCTTAATTTGTATACTTAAATATTCCAGAAATCAGAATTTGAATAAATGTATTATTAATGGGAAACACAGGGGTGAACATCCTTAATGAATCACTCTGTATATATTATATTTAAAATTACTAATATAATACAATGTAGGTTTTTTTATAAATTAATTCGTTTTTATACAAGTTGTATCATTCTATAGACACAATCAACATATTTGCTTTAATTATTATAACATTTATGAACTTTTAATTAAAATGAACCTCCAAGCTCCAGTTGAGATGGTTATTACTCCTTTGGCGACTGCAGTCGTAAATTAATTTATGCGTTCGTAAAACTGAAATAGAACAAAAATAATAATATTGATGAATAATAAAACAAATGTGTTTTTAAGATAATTGAATCGGTCATTTCGAAAAGGCCATTCTCCACACATTTTCGAAACTAGTTTTATGTGATAGATGTGTTAAACTAATAATAATGCATATTTCCTGCTATAAGTTTATACAATAAACAATTTATCAGAGTCACAAGGTCATAATCAATGAAAATTTACAATCCATTGGAAAAGGTCATATCTCAAACACGTTCATTCCCTCATAAAATAATCCAGTAGGTGTAAATAATCAATATTATACCATAGTTGGTTTTTTATAAGAGAATTAAATAATTTAACCGTTATTCAATTTGTATCTAAATTTAATTTTGATCTCTAAAAACAGTTTTTTAGGATTCCTGAAAATTTTCATTTTACGGAGATATGGCCTTTTCCAAATGACCGATTGAAACACTTGAAACACATAGCATATTTTGTTTTTCAGTAAAAATCTCGTATGGACATAAAAAATTGAGCACCTCCCTACTTACCTACTATAAAGTAGGTTACTAGGTTTTTTTCATAGTCGATTTTGACTAACTCTAATCTCGTCTAAACTATTATTATATAGTTATGCGTAAGTAGGACGTGATACTAGGTATTTGACAAATATTCAAATTGTGTTAAAATATTTAAACTAAAATAACGGAATACCGAGTAAAATAACCGCCATTATTCCCAACGAGTGCGAACAACGAGTGGATGAAACTCAAATTTCGTTATGATGTACAAACTCCATTAACTTCCGTGTAATGGATTTTCGAAATCGCTGTTCTAATTAATGTCCTGTGGAATACTGGAATCCACGAAATAATCGATTAAAGTCGTTATGATGATCATCGTAGTCCGTCGAGTAGCAATTATGTAAAACCAATTTTTAATTGTTCGCAAGTTAAAAGAGATATTATCAAAATCGATTACCGATAACCAGAAAAAGGTAAAAACCCAGGTCGTACGTGCCCCGTGAATTTCATCTGCTATTCTGCTGCTATAGCCATAATATAACCAACCCTAACCTATATAGATACCTATACGTGTATATTATAACAACGTTCACCTCAGATAATAATTACCAAGCTCAATTTATTCTGATTGCATTCGGTAATAAATTACAGTCCACGAATCGGATGTAAACGGCGTGCTGGTAATTAAACATTGGCTCGATTTTTTTATTCATTTCAATTTCGCTATAAAGTCGCCAGAATAAATACGTGATCCGAAAACCATGAGCTCATGCTATCGTGGACAATCTCCCGGATTCGCAAGGGGCAATGGCGTTTAGTTATACATTTTTTAAATCTAAATGTAATAATAAATCTTCTCAGTTTAGGAAAACGATTCTGATCGGACTGTCTGAAAGTTGCCGCTTACATAATGATGGCTTGCATTTTTAAAAGGTCTCAAAATATTTAAGTGAACATAAAAAATAATTCACGAATAAAGATTCACTATGTCGTAAAAAAAATATGTTTCACGTCTTTATAATATTATTATGTACTATATTCGGTTTAAGCCTCTATAAGTCTATTGTTTTTTTTTTTTTTTTAATAAAACATTACATAACCAAATTGTTGTTTAAAAAAATATAGTAAAGTAAAGTTACTGAAAAATTTTAAAAATGTTCTCTTTAATATTAAACATATTTCGTAGGTATACCGACACTTAAGTATTCTACACAAATCTCATTGCAAATAATAATTTACCTACCTATGCATTCCACATTATTTCAATACCAATTAGCTCAACGTTTTAAATATCATTATTTCAAACTCTGCTATTTATTATTATTTATCGTGATTTATTACTTAAAATATAACGTCTTTGAAATTATAAAATATTGATTTATTAAGAAAGTAAATATACGATAGTAATAAAACCCACGTAAAATATATAATCATGTTTACTAGAGATGAGTAACGATTTTATTTATGATACTTCTATCTATAAATAAAATTAATATCGATATTAGAAAAGTATAATAAAACTGGTTTTCATAACTCCACTTTCAATGTGCAAGGCATTACCAGCTGTTTATATTTTTTAGATTTCAGTAGATTATATTAATCGAATGTCGTGGAATAAAAATTGTATTTTACAACTAAATCAGCAGGTTTTTTGCACAATGTTTACAACTTTTGAATCTGCTATATTTTCCAAGTTGAAAAATTAATTAAAATTAAAAACCATTTTATACGAAAATATTATCAACAATGCATTTTGTTGTACACGCATGTATTATATTATTATTATTGATTAATTTGCAATTAAAAATGCATTGTTCATAATAATATACTAGGTATACCTTTTGTTACGCCAAACACGTGTACAAGGGAAACTTGTTTTTAATCTAAAAACTAAAACAAACACTTTAATCGGCTAAATCAATCTTAATTAATGCATCAAGGCTTTTAAAAATATGCAAATTAAGAGCGGTGCTAATATTTTACTTTTTTCGAATTTCCACTTAAAATAATCCATTTTAGAAATTTGAGCTTTTTTAATTTTAAATTAGGTATATAATTCGTAATTAAAAAAAAATGTAATCCAGTCAATGAATACAGTTTCACGAAAAACAAAGAAATAAATTAATAATAATATTATTCCAATATTTACCACACACAGCGTGTTGGGTTGGTCGCTTCCAAATTATAATTCAATTAAACTTTAGTTATTTTATTAAGATACTTGTGTCTGTAGAGTCTATGAAAAATGCAAATATTGTTTTAATGAATTAACATAAATTGTTTATGGAAAATGACAAGATATCAAATATTTAAATTACATTAATCAGGACGAAATTAATGTAATTTTCAATTATTTTTATTTTTATACTCGAACTTAGGTAGTAGGTACCATACTATATATTTATTATTTATATTGACGATAATAATAACTCATAACTTTAGCACTAAACACGTAAAATTAACATTCCACAGCCATTGATTCATTTTAGTTTTTGAATATATTTATAATGTACTTATGTATCTATTACACTATTTATAAATGTTAGTCAATTAAAAGTTATCCCTCGAGTTAGTATATGAATACATATTTCTTTTCACAAAAAATAATTCTTCTTAATTAAACAAAAAAAGTGTACGATTAACACTTTAAATAAAATAAATAAATCAACCACAGAAATAATGAGACATTTTTCTTTGCGCCTGT